AGGTGTTTTCTTTTGTCCACATTACTATAAACTTACAATAATATGCTAAACAGCTGCGGGCATTATGAAAGTCGCTAAATAAGTAAATCTGCCYTCCATGTCGGACAATAAGGCTCTGACGTCACATTGAAATCACCCAATGTGATTCATGATTTATACTTACTTCAAGTAAATAGTTCATCTTTGGAGGGGCTCCACTCAGGTCTAGATGAACAAGCTTATGGCCCTTAAATCTAAATAGAAACACGCTTTTTAATTTTATTAACCGATATTATGAAGTAGGTGTCATTTGTATTTCATGAAAGCTTGGAATTATGCATATCAAAGAATCGCCTCAGAAAAGTTCGTTTGTCAGCCATATTTGGTAATCATACCTTATTTGGAAGTACGTTTGGACCGGTTTCTGGTGATTTTCTCGACTTTTAAAGCTTGAAAGTGTCTGAAATTTGCAGATATTGACGGATTTCAAACCGTGGGGGACTGGGCAAAATCCCCTAATTGGGTAATCATGACATAAGACTTACATAGAAAGAAAGCCCTTGTTGAGAAATGCAAAATTCCAAAATGATGATGTAAATCACTCTAATAGTGAGCGAGTTACAGCCTTTCAAATATTCTAATATTTCCAAAGAAATGTATGGAAAGCCGTGAATGTGTCCGTAAAATGCTCAAAATTCGGACACATTTGCGGCTTCCCATACATTTCTTTGCAAATTTTAGAATTTTTGAAAGCTCGTAACTCGTTCACTATTGAACCGATTGACACCAGATTTTGGAATTTTGCATTTCTCAACAAGGGCTTTCTTTATATGTAAGTCTTATCTCGTGAAATCTCGTGATTATCCAATTAGGGGATTTTGCCCAGTCCCCACTYGGTTTGAAATCGGRCAATAGCGAAAACACTTCCAAACAAACGGCCATTTTGTTTGTTTCCATATATGGCATGAATACGCTAAAGAAAGCCCGAAATTATAATCCACAGGGATCCCACACGAATGAATCTCACCCTTGATTKACCACACCATCKTGATTAAGWTTTGATATCGCATTCTCGGCGTTGTTCAGTCTTTCGTTAGTTTGTTTCATTAATTGCTTTGCGTCTGATATTTCTACAACAATAGGATAATGGAGTTTTAGTGTTTTACTATTTTCAGCTTTATAATTGAACGATTTTTTTGCCTTTCTCCATCGAAATCAAATAATGGAGTTTGTGCTAAAAAAATATTTATATGATTCAATTAAATTATGCTAGTCCCATATCAAAGAGATTACCTTTTCGTTTAGCAACCTTACTCTGTTTGAAAGTATATGTGGACTCATTTTGGAGATATTTTTGGAGATTTTCTCGATATTTTAGCGAAAAGACAATCAAAAATCAACGATCGACCGTCTCGTATGTCATAAATTTGATAAAGGAAGCTCGGAACAAGGGATCCCGCACTAATGACAACAATTTAGTGTTATGGAAGTGACCATATCATGTTATGCAAACCGAACTTTTATTTCAGTGAATAAATCTCCCAAGATTTTRGAAAAGTTACCTTTTACAACTTGATTTAACACGGTGTTTGTTGGTTTGTCATGGTTCTTGGGTGCAGACTGAGCGACATTTCTCTCAACGAAACTGAAAATAGCATCATCCAAAAAATATTCAAAATATTAATTACCTTTCTAGAATTTGAATGACAGAGGAAACAGCTTTTTTCAGTTAAGCCGGGGCCTTCTATCCCAAAGGAACGATTCTTAAATATGTGTTTTGACAGTTTGGAGCTCACGTCGAATGATAACCGACTTTTTTTCTAAAAAAAAATCATAACAAAAACAAACAAACGAACAAGTCAATCGAATAATAAAACTGCTCTTAGGACCCCAATTAATAAATATTCGTACTACGTTTGGTTTTGACAAAGGAATGTCAAAAGTCTTCTTGAAGTTCGGAATTCTGTCAGTTTCAAAAGCACAGATGATGAAGAGCGCTTGACCATGCAGGTTTTCAAGTGTACCAGCCAAATTCATTAGATTAATCAAGGTTAACAAACCTATCTTAGAAAAATATTTCGTCCTATATAGAGAAAATATAGGGRAAAAAATCCTCGCAAATCTCCTGACTCTTCACGTGAAAACGATAAATGATATATATTATATAATTACAAGTGAATGGCATTTAACACAGCTCSACTAACTGATCAAAGCGAATGCCACGGTCGAAATAATTCGATTAGCAGAAATATAAATGTTCCTCTTAAAGGGATTGCAAAAGGACATTCAAATGATAAATAAATCTAAACAAAAAAAAGTCCAATAGTTGACACATTTTTCAGATCAACAACAGTGCAATGGGATTCACTGATCCTTTTTCTCAGGGTCAAATTCGCAATTACTTACCATAAAAGAAGTGCAAACGAAATCACTTCGACGACGTCGCAAAATKTACATATTTTTCCCGCCATTTTTCATCCGGGATAGTCGTTACATATTCTTTTTGATTCCTTAATTTTTCTTGGAAATAGAGAAGTTCTTTTTGATCTTTTRGCAATTTCTAATGTAATTCCACCGGAGCGTTTCCCTTTTTGTATTCAAGACCTGTTTGATCAAGCCACCAGTGATGTTTATGTGCACTTCAAGGGTCATGGCACTGGTAACCCGAAGCACTCGGAAGGGYAGGGCACAGGAAGCCCATAACAGCGGATTCTTTACGAGGTAGAGAATAAAATTTACCTTCGAAGGCACTTGAAGTTGTTATCTTCGACGTCTAGACTGAGGTTTGSTCACGGCACCAAATGAAACACTCAATCAATACATATTGCGTTGTGTAACGTATTTATTTTTATATCCCAGMACATGGATSAAAGCTTCCACGCACACATGGTATAACAGTTCTTACTGAGCATGTCATTTGTACATTACCCAGGGGGAGGGGGTACATACGACGTCCTTAAGATTATGCATGGCAAACTTTTCAATAAAGCGGCTATTGTTTTTCATATATAAACGTGTGTACAATCAAAGCGTTATATCATAATCTATGTCTTAATCTAAATTTCCTTAAGAAGAAATTCCTGGTACGAAGCAGAAAAAAAAAGCGTTTTTACGGAGCTAGTAATGCTCAAAAGGGAATATTATTAAAGAATAAATAAATCAAGATTTAAACGAAAATTGATCAAAACTACTAAAACGGTGTTCACATTGAAAAAAAAAACCTGTGGCTCTAAATCTATCCTTTCAGCATTTAGTTAAGTATTTTTCCTTAGAAAATTCAACGACTTTGCATTCTGAATCCGAGTCACTGTTTGCTGCGAATTTCTAATGAGCAAATCTGAAACTCTCCCGGCTTTATATTTTGATGTTATACAATCGTTGCTATGACAAAAGTTTCATCTCAAAGAGAATCTGTCAACTGTCAAATCGCTGTTTTWAATCCCCGTTACTTGTCAAGACAGTCATAATGAATAACAAGATATTTCCTCCACCAGAAAAAGTTTTTTTCTGAAATCCTTTTCCTTCCGAAGCTTTCTCCATCATATCTCGTGTCTAAAGCGCTCAATCTCAGTTTTACCAAGACAACATTATGCAGATTACCCTGAATTTGTGTTCTAATTATTAGCTAAAGTTCTAGGATCAGTTTTCTCGGAAATTGTTTTTGCAATTAATATAATAAATAATATTCGATGTCTTTGTAAAATTAGGTGATACCCAACGAGTTGTTTACACGAATGTGCATAAGAAACAACATTCAAATTGGATAAGTCAAATACACCCTTTTAATAAGTCCCGCGGTATTGTTTTCTCCGCACTTGACGTCAAATTTATTCTTTTGAAATTTTTACAATACAAAAGAAATTCAAAAGAATAAATTTGACGTCAAGTGCGGAGAACGTAATCCCTCGGGACTTATTAAAAGGGTGTATAAGCGTTCATTTTTGTTGAATTACGGATGTTGCTATGACAATATTTAGTTCTTTATTAWTTACCGATTTTAGAGATTTTAAGCTTAATAAAGATAATTTCATATTGCAATCACAGATAACATCGAGCTAACCTTTTAAAYAATGCGATTTTAAAGTAATGCGATATGAACCTTTCACAGATAGCAATTAAACAGAGTCCCACACCATTTTAGGTGATGTAACGAAACATCATGCCCTTCATAGATTTGACAMTTTATATTTGCTATCGTCCAAAGTATTGGCTCACCGTTTAGTTTCTTATCTTCTTTCGTTGCCTTACAATTCGATTATTTTTATTATTATTACTGTGATATCGTATTAAATATTGAGGCATAACGTAGCAGTTTTAACGCTYGACACTTTATATGAAAACACTGATTTTGCATAATGCCACGACTGTCTAGTGTAAACATTTCATTTCATTWCTTGATGCTGTCGTACTKCGAAAGCTTAAACCTTCAGGGAGAGAGTTGGCAAGCTAGGGGATAAAGCGGAAAAGTTTATCCTGTCAATTCRAACAAACATTATGTCATCCMCTCCCCATTTTCAAGATTTATTGTAGTAACTTTCCATTTGAGATCCGCTTAAACTGTCGCCAATAACAGTAGCATTTAACAAATAATCTGCTTCCCTACTAGATGGGAATAACTTAAATTCAGGTATTTGAATTGCTCTAATTCCTAAATCCCATGCAGCAACACCAATGTAAGCATCGTCCGTATTAAAAGGATCTCTAAACTGAGTATAGCTCAAGAACAACGGAATACTATCTGTAGAAAACACAGTACATGCTCCCAAAGCGAATGGTGGCCAGAAACTATCCTTATATTCTTCGTAGGAAACATACCATTTGCTCCTCGGACGCCGGTCGACCACTGCTCCCGTGTATAAAAAGCCGCCGTAGAATGGAGCAGGATAATTTTGCTCTTGTAGCCAACGAAGCATTCGTGGAACCCTTACATAAACGTCATCATCTGTTTTGACAATGAACTTGGAAGAAAAATGGAAGTAGGCCCATTTCAATGCCATGAATGTTTTGAATTTAACATTAAGATAGCTATCAGTGAAATTTCCAATGATAAGATCATTGGTWTTCTGTGATTCKTSTATGTTTAGATTATTTTCATCGCAAATTCCAAGGCTGAAGAATACGCGGTACTGGTTTGAACCACTTTGCGTTTCCAAATTTCCCCATGTTTTTCGTATGGCATTTCTCAGATTTCGGTAATCCAACCCTTTACATGCCGAATTTACAACCACAACAATTTCTAGAAGTCTGTCTTCACATGATATCTTTGGTTGAATATGAGGGACGATCAGTGGAAAGCTTGACAGATCTTTGACCTGCATATTGTTGATTYTRACATGAGGACATCCATGTACTTGATTCAAGACGTTTTCTTTAGCCAACGTGAGTCTTGGCGTGAGTCTTAAAACACTAAGAAGTACAGTACTGAATAGAACTAAAATTACCAAAATAGCAATACAAATTATACGCTGTCTTTTCAAGAAATGAAAAGCCATATTGCCGACCAAAATGGTTGCTTCTCGATCAGGTTCATTTAAACAACATTATATTTTTTCGGTCCGGCATCCTAGTTATTCGCGCGCTGTGATTGGCTAGCGCRCGGTCCTCTTTTTCACGATCTGTCAGGTCCACGGTGTCCTGCAGCTAGGCTGCCAGCAAAGTTGCATAAAATACAAATAAAAAAAAGTAAAAATGTTATTTACCGGTTATAGGTCGGTCCGTATACGAAAACACTGCCCTCGGTCTTTTATGTACGGACATCGCTGCGCTCGTTCCATACTGTCAATACCTCTGGCAGTTTTTTCTTATACGGACCTTCCAGCCGGTAAATAACATATATGTATTTGTAGTAGTTACCGAGTATATCCCGATTATTTGAAGACTGATTTTAGTATTTGTCCGTAAATCACTTAACTAGTAATATACAATGTGCTTTATAAAATGTGACATAGCTTATTTGACAGCGGGTATGTCATTGCCTCACAGTTTGTTTCCATTGTGTCTTTCTTTGCTTCGCAACTCGATTTTCTATGAYATTGCACTGTTAGTATATATTACTGACGTTTTCGCAAGAACAAATTTTTATCAATAGATTATATTTCTTATCAATTTATGTAGAGTTTATTGTAAGCCTGTTAAATCTTCAAGTTTTTCTCAGACTTCCTCCGTATTTTCCATTTTCCAGTTATCCATTTYCTTTTCTTGCTCTTGCGTTTGCATTTTCAATGTATGAACAAACGTGAGGCATTCAGTCTTTGTATGACTAAAAGCACCATTGTTGGACCTTCGTCTTGTATCTTAAAGCCCGGTCCTCGACAACAGCTTCGTGTTGGATTTCATCATTTTTTCTGGCAATTTGAAGTTGTCAACGAAACGCCGTTGCGAACAATTGTTCTGTGTCCGATTG